TTGAAGGTTGGCCACTACTTTTCAACAAGGTATTGATGTTTAAAGGGCAATCCTCTACCTGTGGCAGAAGGGGAAGGTGACTCTTTGATGTTAAGGGCAATATTAGGCATCTAGTTTTTATTCTTCATGAGCTTTTTAGGGATTTCTCCATCAACCAAAGGCATGTAGTAATAAAGTTTATCAGATTACTTTGTAACATTATACTTCAAATATTACCAACACAACTTGCATTACATGCAATGTTCTTGATGCAACATAGAAGGAGTGAGGCGACTCCTCTTGAAAAATGAAAGAAGTGTACATTAATAGCAAAGTATGTATATCTGTGTGTTTGGCAAACGAAAATACGACAATTACTATTAAACGTAAAGAGGGTAAGAACAACGACATAAATGTGTAAATACCACCTGTGCTGATTCATTTACATGAACTAATTTTCTTTGAGCTTGTGTACTAGATCTTAGAAAGCCTTCACTTTGAGGACGTTGTGTGTCTCTAATTGGAGGTGCTGGAGCCATATCTGATAGCTTAAGAGCATAAAATAAAAACTTAGAAACACAAACCAGAAGGATAACATTAGAATAAAACTTCATTCAGAAGTGATGGAACGGTAATCATGAAGAAATAACACAAAAGTAGGGACTGGTGAAGGAGCATATTTACAGCATTCAACGAGGGATCTTTGAATGCTGAAATGTAACGGCACACAAATAAACAAAAATACACAATTCTGCTTCTAATGAGAAACATAATGTTTAAAATATATGGAAATTTTAAAGCAGTGTAAGTCTAAGCAGCCTAATCGACCAGCTACTGTTACTCATTCATCGGCTATCAATAACTATACTTGCTTCCAAGGTAATAAACGCATCACAATTTTGGTAACTAAATCTTTTCATGTTTGAATAAGCCAGAGCTTCACCCATTTGTAACTGATAAATGCTTTCTACAATCTAATTTCTCTACCCAAGATTTCTAAAGTCGTTTTAAAATGTTTTTCTTTTTACTTACTATGTCTCATTTGAAAATTATGGTTATGAGTACACTGAAAATAATCCGCATGCTTCAGAAGCATTCACAATGATGCTGTGACATACAATGACAAAATCTAGAATTGCAGTTGAATAATTAATGCCTCAAAGCATGTGCCATAACTCTGACAACTAAGGAATTCAATCTAAAAAGTAGTCCACAAATCTGAATATTGCCATGTCATCTAAGTTGAATAGAGTAGACCATGATATAGTTGCTTGCCCAAAAAATACTCCTCAGATAGAACAACACAAAAGGAGGCAATAAATTAAACAAAGCAAATTTACATATTCAAAAAGTCACAGCTTGTACAGGGAGATGAAATAAGTATTCACACAAATTAAAATAGACTCTTCCTATCTAATTACACAAAAATGACTTACTTGTGTGAGCAAGGGAGAAGGAGTATTAAGAACTGATATCTTGCAACAGCTGTTTGTTATTTGCCCAGCTGGTCCCGTTAAAAGAGATCGCCCATGATTATTATGACATATATCTTTGATGTTGTTCCCTTCCATTTGCTGTGAACGGCGCAGACTCAAATCTTCTAAGCCAAAGGTCTGAGAAGAATCCAAGCTTTGATCCACACCGGCTATTTGCAAAAAACTAGATGCATTACCTAAATAATGCTCTTGAACATAATGAACAGCTGCATCACCAAAATAAATAGTAGCTTCCTCTGCCTCACCTGAAATAACTATATCTAAGCCTTGGCAACAATTTGCTAATTGGTAATTGCGCATATTCATGCCTATGACTCAAAAAAGTAGCATTACATCAATTGTAACACTATGCAGACTTTGTACATTACATGTGATCATACCCAATCTTATAAAAGTTCAGCAGGAACTGTTCAGGTGACATTCAGGAAAAAGGAAGCAACAAGTACAAAAGAAAAACCAAGAAATGGAATATAATCTTAATCGGTGTGCTGGAAATCACTCCCCTATTTGAATTAGGTTTCTTTGGAGTAAAAATAATCAACAGTGTCTAACTTCTTACATTTCAAAAATAAATCTCCACTGCACACAACAAAACCATTGAGCACTCTCTCTCGACTTTCATTTTATTACATTTCCTAAGCTCTCTTACCAATACATTTATTCTTTATTGTATTACCACAAACATCCATAGCCCACTCATCTATAAATATAAATTGTGTAAGTATTCGCTTTATAAAGTTATAATATTCTAGAAACCCTATTGTTAGCCATTTGTGTATGTACAAGAGTCCAGAAGACTCATGCAACATTGAATGTAATATAAGAAAAATATGAACCATTCAACAGGTCCAATCATACCAATTCTTTGTTTATTCTCCCAACAAAACTTTTCAAAGGTATTTATTTTTTTTCTATGCTTATAAGAGAAATTTTGCATATATTAAAGGAGAATAGAAAGAATGCCAGAGCTTAACATTACATAATATTTTTCACTTAACCTCAATAAAAATCCCTTTATACTGACCTAGTATACACAGTTCCTCATATGCTGCCCAAAATAATGGATCAACTGACAAAGCCTTTCTAAAGTGTTCAACTGAACTTTTCATCCTATCAGTGTCCCTGTGGCAAAACACCAGAATAAAGATATGGGAGTGAAGGGAGAGAAAGACAAATAGAGTATATACCTATCCAGCTCAAGTAACATCCAGCTAAAACACAAAGGAAGCTATAACATAGTACTCTACGCCAATCCTGCACAAAATACCCTGCCTCTTTCAAACAGCTTAGACTCAGCCTTTCTGGCAAATGTCCATAGTTATGCAAAGTAAAAATTGTCTACACTAAGCGTTGGTTATGGCTAAACTTGGCAAGCACACAAACTTGCTGGGCATTTAGTATTAGTGGATTAGTCAGGAATGCTAACTCAATTAAAAGCCAAAGCAGCTGGTTTAAGTAAAGTAAAATTTTGGATCCATCAAATTATTTTTCAAAGTTTCCCAGACTAATTAGGTGGAAAAAGAGATGAACATCTGAATTTCCTTAGAAGAAACTATAAAAAATTCAGGGTTACATTCCAACCAAAAATTGTATGAATAAAGCAAGTAACCTACTGAAGGATTCCACCACATTGAATCCTACGCGCTAGCATAGCATTACAAAGCTTGGAAAAATGAAAAGAAACAGTCCAACAATGAAACCCTAAAAGCAAGTGGCAGAAACCAGTATATAATGCCAAGAAGATATTGCACAGCCGCACCATTTGAAACCTGCATAAATGTAACAACAATGGTGAGCATGAAATTTTGATGAACATCCAGGTAGCAAAGCCCCCAAACCAACTTTTTCATAATTATGACCATTCCACTACCAAAACGCGAACACATACCTCAGCACTAAGCTCTTCAATAGGCAGCAACGCAGCTTCGGCTTCACCAAAGAGATCCATCTCTAAGCAGGCGAGCGCAAACAAGTAGCGAGACTGAGCCATTTGCATACCTTCAAAACATAGGACGAACAAACACAAACATCAATCAAAACAAAAAAAGAAAAAAAAAAAACAGCATCATTCCCTACTGCGAAGAAAAAAGGGGAAAAAAAAAACATTCAAAGGAGGAACGAATACGTTAAGAAAGTAATACCTTTTAGAATATGATATGCAGAATGAGCTTGATTGTTATTCAAGTAACATCTGGCCAATAATTGTAAATTCACCTACATTAACAAAAATATTTCAAGCTTTCAAGCCCTAGAAAATTCGATCACTTAAATCAAGTAGGATAACTAACGAAATTAATTTGATTAATTAAATTAGAGACGGTATTTTAACCTCGGAAGGAAACTCAGCGTAGAGGCGTTCGCAGAGAAAGATAGCGTTTCTTCCCATGTAATTGTTCAGGCTGTTCTCTACGTAACTCGCCAATAATGCCTCCATTTCTGCCAGAGCGAGAGCGAGGGAGAGAGAAACGTTGGGGAATTTTATCGTGCCTTGGCCTGGGTTTTTTGATCCTACCTGAGAAATGAGATTCGTCCGCGCGGGGCGGGGAGGTTCTTTCTCATTTTTTATGATTTTTTTGAAAAAAACCACCGAGCACGTGTCAAAAAATTTTTGAAACGAGTGAGTTAGAGATAGAAAGGTCAGCAAATCTTAGGTTGGATTGTTGGGGCTGGTTTTGGGTTACAATTGGGCTTGGTCCAGTCTTAAACTGGAGGGATTTTCGCCCTGTCCTGGGATCAAAGCCCAACTCTTGTTCCTCATGGGCTTCTAGGGGTTGGCGCCTCATCATGTGGTTCTGATGCATGGTCTTTCACGTGATTTAAAAAAACAAGTATCCAAAGATAATTCTGCGGGAATTTTTTTTTTTTCAGTTTTAGTGCTTCGCTTCGAGTGTTAATTATTTTATTTTGAAGAATATAAATTGATTTATCAAATTTTGATATTTGATTTTTTAAACAAAAAGAATTATTCTAAATTATCGACTTTTTGAGAAAAATATCTAAAATGGAAAAAACACAAAAAAAAGAAAAATATAATATTGAAAAGAAGAATAACTTTTATTTAGTTTTCATTTTTATTTTTTCTTCTTTCTTTCATATCTGTCTCTCTTTCACCAAATGATCTTATAATCGAGATCAATATGCATGATAAAATTTTTTTTCAAATTATTTTATATTATAATCATTTTTTAGTAAATGTTTAGTGAGAAAATGAATGGAAAAAGAATAAAAAATATGAAGAATTGAACATTAGATTCCAACACCAAAAACATTTAGCAAAAGAGATACTAAGAAATATTAATTTCCAAGACATGCCAGTAACTTTGCTACTCCCTTCTGATGTAAGACTTTGAGAGAAGAAAATGAGCCAAAAGATCCAAAATTTAAGTCACTCATTATTGTGGAACTCAGAATTTTTATCTGGCTCCATATTATAATCAGAGTAATAATCCACAGGAATATACGGGATGTAACAAAAGTGATAAGGCAATTGATGTCCAATGAATTGAAGAACTAACCCAATCATAAATCAATTACAAGGTTGTATTTATTTGGATCATACTATCAAAACAAGTTAACAGTGATATAACCCCTTAATGTTTTACCATTTCTTTATTATTTTTTTTCATTCAACATTCTAGATAAATTACCTAAACCAAAGTCACCTAACAATATACTAAGTAAAACATTATCTTTAAATTACCCCTTAGCTTTAATTAAATATTTCAATGCTAAAACATTGAAAGTGACATGCCACACTCTATTTCCACTTTAGCTTTAATCAAATAAGAGATAATAAGAAAATGTTAAGCAGTAAAAAAAAAATTATGAAGATATCACAAACAGTATTTAGGGAACAAAGCAAAGTGCTAATTGATGGAACAGCCTAAAATTATCTGTGTATGAAAATTTATATACATACAGCCAACGCCTTAGCCACATCCCTTACCTCCCCCAATCCTCGCATATATTTATATATAAGGGTTAATATTTGATAGACTGATAATGTATAGCTTCGATACACTATCAACTTAATTTTGCCATCTTATTAAAGAGATAAAATAAAAAATCTTTATGGGCTTAAAATTAAATATTGAAAAGTTTATAATGATTTATTAAATCAAAAAATATTTTCACTTTCATAACTCTCTTGATTCTTCTTTTTCTTGTTTTCATCTTTTATCTCTCCCCAACTCCATCATCTTCTTTTTCTTTTATTCTTCCATTAAAATTAAGTTTTGCAAAATTCTACAACTTCACCAGCAACTTTTAGATTCTTTTCTTATTTTTTTGAAACCATAAGAGAGATATGAGGAAACATATCTTTCAAAAAAAAATGAGAAAATAAGATTTAAATATATAAATCTTATAAGCAAACTTTTATTAACAAGATTAAACCAAAAATTATACTTTTCCTATAAGCCATATCCCACCGCCCTTTATCGTAATGTTACAAAGAAAAATTCACTTTCACTCAAATAGTTGATTTTGAAACCCTTGTAAAATGGTTAGTAGCATCTCGTAAAAAAAATGACTGATTTTCTTGAAAATCTTGAAACATTGGGTTTAATTAAAAATTAAAATATTTATATAACATATCATATAAACAATGATTTTGGTTTAAATATCAAAAAGCATGTGATTTATTTAACATCTCAGGTTTAAATTAATTAGCATTTTGGGTTTTATTAAAATGGTAAAGTAACGCCTCAAAAGAATTTTGGTTTTGATAAAAATTTGGAGTTTTATGAGTGCATTCAAAGGGAAAAAAACTTAATGCTAATAGAGAAAGAACAATTTTGAACTTAATCCTATTATTTAAAAGCAAAATTGTGGACTAAACAAAATTCCGCTAATATGATTTATTTATTTGAATCTTGTTTCCTTAATCTCTAAAGAATAAGAGAAAAATATAAAAATTGCTCTTAAGGTTATAAAATTTTGTAAAACCTAACTTTAATAGAAGAAGAAAAGAAGAAGATGATGACCGAGTTGACAAGAATAGAAAAGACGAGACAAAAAAAAAGAATGGTTGGGAGATAGAGAAAAGTAAAAATATTTATTTTTTATTTAATTAACTATTATAAACTTTTTAATATTTAATGTAAATCTTTAAAAGTGATTTATTTTACCTTATAAATAAGGTGGCACATTTAGTAAACTGATAGTATATGTAAATTATACATTATCATTACATCAAATATAAATCCTTACATATAATATGTAAATACAAACACAAGAATGCATAATGCATAATTTGTATTATAAAAAATAGCAACGTAAAACTAATCATTCAAACTTCAATAGCATGCTTAAAAACTACCGGGCAAGTTACAAAAATTTAAACTGTAAAACATTACCTGCACGTTTGGTATGGGGAATAGCTATGTTATTTCCCTTTTATTCCCATGCAATTTGTTATAACTTTGTTTGGTTTAATAATACAATAAAGAATCAGAATTCTTCAATAATATCTGTTCGTGAAAATAGATAAAAAGTCCCCTTCAGCTATACCCAATTCTCCCCCTGGTATTATCTATTCCTTATCTTATAGAATAGTTATGAAACTTATAATGACCAAATTACTCCTCTTAGATTTTTAAAATTACAACCATATTCATATAAAACATTTTTTTCTCTCTTCATCCTTTCCCTCTTTCTCTCAGTCGCTTTCCCACGGTTTACTTGCCTTTTTCATTCTCTCTTTAACTTGCACTCATCACAAGAACCAAACAATGGTGGTGGCAACTGCGACGACGAAGGTAATTTCACAACCGAATATAATCGAAAAGTATCGATTTAATACTTTTCAACAAGATTCAATTGAGAAATAATAAGATCTGACATTTTATGATCAAATTTAGTTAAAACACAGATTTAGTAAAATAAAAAATGTATTTAAATTTTAAAATTTAAATTCTTTAAATGTAAAAATGAAAATGCAGCTAAAATAGTGTAGTTAGTACCCATTTATGTTGTAGTGATATATTAATATTCAAGGTAAAAATATATTAATTTTCATGTTGTCAAGTTCTTTTAATGATAACAGTGTAATTCTGAAATCAAATCATCATTTAAAATATAATCTTAAAAATTAAACTATTTTTATTAAAAAGTTTTTATTTGATTTTTAATAAACAACTATCTACTACAAAATATAAAAAAAAAAGGTTAACTTTTAAATGATTTTATTTAATCATATTATAAATCAAGTAAAATTTTGCCCTCACTCTCTCTTTCTCTTCCTACATCCTTTCCTAATTTCATTTATTTAATTCATGCATAAAAATTAGAAATTAAGTAGACAAAATAAAATATATAAAAACGGGGCTAAGACCTTCAACTGCTATTCGGGTGTGACCAATTTGATGGACTCAAGGCTAATTCAAATTGAGCCGACGTGATTCGGCCCGACTCTTCCTTTTTTTTCCCCTTCTTTTCCTTTTTTTTTTTCCTTACCTTACTACTCCAATTCAGTGATGCCGTTCAGCCCACCGAATATCAATACTAAAAAAATAAAAAAGTCTTTTTTCTCTTCACCTTTTCTCTGTGGTACCTTGTGATGATTTGTGGTTATTGAAAAACTTTTTTTAAAAAAAAAAATTTTGGTCTTAATCCTTATATTGTACAAAAAAAATATAAATTTAGTCTATATATAATAATTTATATAAATTGAGTCTTTATACTTTTTCAATTTAAACCCTAATATCGTTAAATACAAATAAGTTTCTATAAACTAATGCCCTCAAGATCATGAAAATTTATTAATTAATTAATAAATTAATAATTTATAAATTTATATATCAATTAATAAAAAATTAGTTTATCAAGATATTCCTTAATTTTTTTAAAAAAAAATATTGAACTCAATATATGTATTATGCATAATTTTCTCTTACAATACAAGAACACTACATCAAAACTTCTTCATACATTAAGAAAAGTTAAAGATGAGGTCTAAGGAGACATCAATCTTAAGAGAAAATAAATAACATTGGAGTCATATTTTACAAAGCTTATTAATTGAGTTATGTATATATATAATTTTGATCTATAAAAAAATTATTAATTTATATATCAAGTAAAATCTATGTGTTTTTTCAAATGTGTTACTTTATAAATTTAGTAAATTATTAATTTATCACATTTATCTCAAGTTAGGACCGACTAAAAATATTATTTAATCAAAATTATTAATTATCAAATATTAATTTATAGAAATTATACTGTATCACCGTTAAGTATATTGACTTAACATTTTAACCCAAATGACATTGTATTAATTGTGATGATGTGATTAACTACGTCTTGATATGGCATTTATCATGCCGACGATGTGGTATTAATTAGATTGATAATAATTCATGTTAAAATGGCACATGCTAACATGAAGAGAAATGGTGACATGATATTCGTTGACAGGATCACCCCTAGAAAATCACTTAAATTAAATATCCAAAACACTTTAATCCTAAATTAACTTAAATTATGCTATGGTTGTTGAAATCTTTTCTGGATTGAACATAATGATGGGTCCTAAGGAGGATAGAGAATTGATGACTGGTCTTCACGGTGGCTCATGTCTACGTACTGCGGTGAGAGGGGTTGGGTTGGAAATATGAGCGGGCTTATGAGGGAACTCGGAAGTACAAGCAAACGAAATTCATTCTTGATAAGTCATTTCGGTAATACTCATGTAAATTTTCTAAAGGAAATTCATCCTTGTGTGGATATTGTGCCGGATATTATTCATATTGTTTATAAAATTGTGAATAATTCTCTCAAGACAAAAAGATCAAAAAAATCAACGCTTTTTGGGGCAATATTAAGGCACAGGTTTTAATGTCAAATAGACTGATCACTAGTGTTAATTTAGCTATCTCCTCCATAGTTGGATGATAATTGCTACACTTTAGTTTATAAACAGATGAAGTTTTTTATTTTTAAATTCTTAAATTACCTACTGACATTTATAAAAAAATACTATATCAACATTTGTTATTATGTTTTTATAAAAAATATATATATATTTCTTATCATATCAACATTTCTTATTATATTTTTATCAAAAATAAAAAACCATTTCTTATCGTGTCAACATTTCTTGTCACATTAATATAAATTATTGTCAATCTAATCAATACCACATTAGTACGATAAATGATATGTTAATACATAATCAATGCCACATTAATAAATAAATGTCATATTATCTCAATCAATGCGATGTTAATTTAATCAAAATGTTATGTCAATATATCTAATGATAAAAATTTAACAGTGTTAGGATTTACACTAAAATTAGTAAATTGAAAAAGAATAGAAACTCAATGGCCTGCCCAACTACCTACACGCACTTGCAAAGAAAGCCAGCTTCTTCTGCATATATTATTGAAGTAGCAGTATGAAGTTGTATCATCTCACTGTCATTCACATGTATGGCTAGCCATGTACAACCGTGCAAAGTTTCGACCCTCAAAATCTATCCAAAGTACAAAACCAAAACCAAATCCACCCCCCTGCCATGCACCCATCGCTATTATCCAGGGTAGAAGCTCGATCAAACCCACAAACCCAAAGCTAATTTCGTTTTCTATCTCTTACTTTATTTGAATTTTAATTAATTAGTGTACCCCATTTTTTCCTTATGCAAATACCTAACTTCAACTACCTTTCTCTCTCACTCTCTCGTGTAGCTACTGCTTCCTTTCTTCTTTTCTTTTCTTTTTCGTTTGTAAGCTTGCTGCTCTCGTGAAGCTCTCAGGTTCTTCTGGTGCAGAGATTGATTCATAAAATGAAACGTCCTTTCGTATAATGTTGGCTTCAAATGAAATACGTCGTTGGCTAGGAGCATATGGCTAGTATAGGCCTTCACGTGAATTCCCAGCTTGTATTACTTTCTAGAGACAAATTATATATATATATATATTTCGAAAGTTAAAGAGGAAAATATCATTTCAACAAACTACATTGATGTAATTTATGTACAAGATTCCACCCTTCATTGCTCATTTGCCTTATATGTTGGGAACAACTTATTGATCATTTATTTTCATGGTAAAAAACTAAGAACAGCTTCATCTTCCCTGATATAGACTGATGACCTGTAAAATTATATATTCCATTTGTATAATTTGGGATACAAATACTTCTAACCAAATTAAACATGAAAATAAGGTTTAATTTTCTTAATTTTTGAAGTTTCTCCTCCCTTTCTTTGTTCTATTGAGACGCCAAAAAAAATCTCCTTCGCATAAATGACTACGCAACATTAATTCTCCTCGGGCTCTCAGCTAGGATTTCTTTCCCTTTCTTTTATCAACAGACTAAAGGACATAAAATTTTTTCTTATTAATTGCATCACCCTGGGGATGAAGCAAGTGTACAATGGGAGAGTGGAGAAGGTGAGCACGGAAAACTATCCACAAACTTTTCCATGAAATGACAATGATGCTCCCCTCTGGATTTTGATGAACACTTCCTTGAGACCCACAAGCGAAAAAACACAAGTTGGCATTTCTTTCAAAATCGCTCTTGAAAATCTATCAAGTTTAAAGGCAACAGGCCCTGCATGCAGCTGCTGATAACTGACACGTGAGTCCACCAGATCCACACACAATATCACTTGCTAGATACCCCAGAAGGGAAGCCCACCTGCTATAAATAAGATGGTTTCAATGCGCTTATGACTTAACCCTCTATCCACCACCATTTGACGAAGAAATCTTCCAAGCTTTTCTGCAAGGTTCTTCACTTCCAGTCACTCCCAATAACCATCGCAAAGTTTTTTAGCTGATCATCTCCTGAATCTTGCTTTGGGTTTTTGTCTCTTAACATGGCACCCCATGGAGAGGCTATCACTAGCACTTACACCAGGAGCAACAACTTCCCCAAGCCACCAAGACTCTCGAACGACAGCCTCCATCGAACCATATCGGATATCTCTTTTCAACTCATCAGCAAGGAAGTGCTTGATTACAAAGAAGCAGCAGTAGCGGATGAGAAACAGCTCCCACCCATATCCGAAGTCGAAGATGCAAAGTGCGAGTGTTGCGGCATGAGTGAAGAGTGCACGCCGGAGTACATAGAGCGTGTGCGGAACAAGTTCTTGGGGAAATGGATCTGCGGGTTATGTGCTGAGGCAGTGAAAGAAGAGATGGAGAAAAATGGAGGGAAGATAGAGGAAGCTTTGAGTGCTCACATGAATACGTGTGCCCGGTTTAACAAGTTCGGGAGGGCTTATCCAGCTTTGTTGACAGCTGAAGCCATGAGGGAGATTCTGAGGAAGGGTTCAAGATTGGAAGGGAAAGGTAGTCTTAGGGCCAAATCTATTAGCCCTAGGGATACTAGAGGAGCTCAAAAGAAAGGTGGCATCGCTAGGAGTTCCAGTTGCATTCCAGCCATTACAAGGGAGATGAATAACCTCACAGTAGCAAACTGATTTGGCCCAAATTAAGCCTTCGATCGTTTCCCCTTTTTTAGCCTTCGGCAGGAATTTCAATCCCTCCTCCCTTAAGCTTTAGTAGCAATTCTTTTTTCCATGGACTCTCCTGTATGGACCAAACTTTTTACTTGGAAAGTTTTTTGGGTTCGGTCCAAACTCCCTCTTATCCATGAAATCAACTCAAGGAGTATTATTTTTCTATCCTTGGTTGATTCGTATAACTAATTGCCTTTCTCGCTTTAGATTTTAATCCTTTTTTATAGGAGGGCAGAAAACTCTTCCTGCTTTTTATCTCCCATTTCCAGGGATATGTTTCTTAGGACCAAAAAGTTAACCACCTTCTAGCTAGCTAGGGTTTTTTGTGCTATACCTTGGTTCAAATGCTTCCTTTGTTTCCATCCCTTTTCTCTTTCCCCCGCATATGCTGCTAGTTTTATTTTTGTACAGTAGTTCAGCTATTGTCAATGTGAATTCTAGCTCACCATTTGTAATCGCTAGGGTAAAAGAGCTAACTAGGTTTAGTCGTTGAATAATGTTTGTGGAGGAGAGATGGCATCCTTTGCTCCTTCATTTCACTCTAACCACAAGCTCTCTGTTATATTTCTAGCAGCAAGCAGTTGAAACTCATTTTTATGTACTAAATCCATGTATATGGAGGTATATATATGTATTGTTTAATAAAGGAACTCCATCTTCTTCTAGCATGTTTTTCTATTTAGAGTACCTTTCTTTCCTCGATGATCATGATTAACCAAATTAAACAGTTCAATTTTTTTTGTTCTCAAGCTATAATACCATTTTTTTATTATTATTCAAATTGAACGCACAATTCTCTGATAATTAGAGTGAAAAACCAAGAACAAGGAGAGAGACAGTCAAGAATTGCATGAACTTGGGTAATTAATTCTTCTATATAAATTAAAGCAAATTTAAGTGGATATATGGCTATATAACCACAGCCAATAATAAATGGCTTAACAAACTAATAAGATTAACATAATTAGGTTTGGTATGAACTTACCGTTCTCTTTAAGTGCTATATAACCTATTAATTTCTTTCAATAATCTTACATACATATAATATTTTCCTTAAACAACTTTTGACTTAATTTGGGAACTGAAAACGAGATTACGCAAAGCTGCACCACCAGTTAATTACTTGGCTGAGCTTAATTGGGAAATGTTATATTCTGATACTGGCAATAAACAGTTTCCAGATGACACCATCCTTTATGGGGTTATCCTATTCATTCGGATTGTCTTAAAAAAATTGATTCCTCACTATCTCCAGTTAGAGTAACGTACGGCTTCCCATCCAACTCAACTTACCTGAGAGCTTTGATGCACAATTGGCTCGCAATTTTAACTGCTGCAATAGTATATAGTATGCTCACTTTAGCTCTTCTACCATAATCGAGGCAGGAAAATAATTTAAACATGACCCCCAAACCAATACATACTTCACGTGGACCTTACGTGTGGTAGCAAACCCTTCAACTGACTGCTTATGGCTAGGAAAATTTTACCTTACCAACTTATCTTGTCCTGGGTCCAGAGCCGCCCTAACTGAGCTCACTCAATTTGAGAACACAGTTTTACATGCATCATCAATCAACTGATTCGACCATAAGATCCCAGTAACCCTGGGCAGTCTTAAAGTACAAAGGAAAAACAGGCCTGAGGAGTATTACAAGGTTTTTACGGACTAAAGATAAACAAGCCAACAAAATATTAAACCATAATTCTAGAGTTTCTCTCTCTTTTCTTGTCCAAAAGTTCAGACAAAAGACCAGTTGATAAACATAAAGCAGATGCAATGAGCATTCTCTTCTTCATTCAACACCTTCCATGCTACTGCTCTCTCATATGAAACCGGTCTTCCCATGCTTGACAAACAGATCCCACCTTGTAGACAAGCAAAACCCTACCAGCAGAAAAGCAAGTTAGAACAAAGCCAAGAATTCAGTAAATTCATGTACCTAAATGCACCATTTAAATACAGTGGATATCCATTCATTGGTTATTGCATTCAAATATGTCACTTCTCTAGTTATAAATCAGAATAAAATTATGCTAGACCTGTTGCATTATCTGTGGGAACTCTGTGCAGAGAGTCTTTCGACCATGATCATCAAATATCTTCTCCAAAGTTATGTCCTGCAAAGCAACCAGGGTTGTCTCCAGCATGTCAAGCCCAGCCTGATTTGCAAAGGTAAAAACGGGCAATGCCTGCAAGAACTATTAGTTTTAGATAAAAAAGATTTAAATAAAGGCTAGCATTAGCATTTACAGAATAATAAACATATAATGGCCAAAAAAAGAAAGAGAGAGACATGGGAATTCAGTCCAACAGTAATTTGACATTCGGTGCTTATGCAAAGAAACGTTTAATGGCTCAATTGAAAAATCACAAGGGGAAAAAGGGCTCCAGGATTTTTATTATCTCTTGATAGATTACTAAATTATATCGAGGCACATAGTTTCATTTCGTGTATCTTGCATTCTAACAGTAATTCAAGCACTTTCTAGCATAAACATACAAACATCCTCTGCCAAATATATATAGGTTCAATTTGATATGGTGTCAGCCCCAGAAGATTCCAATAGAAAAATTCATATTTCATATTACAAACTACAACACAATGGAAAGGTGGGGAAGAGAAAGGGGAAGTGAGGTATTAAATACTTCACACATACCTTAAGAGAACAGCACATTATAGCATCTGAGTGATGCCACAAGGTCTTCAGTATGGTTTCACTCCCTTCACTGCAAGATTTGAGCAGCTCAACACCCATGTAAAGCCTGCAAAGTAGCGACAAATTATCCAAGGTTCAAAATATAGCAGCAGTTGTTCCTAACACAAATATCCAGCTTATGCAACACTTTGGCATAAAATGTACAGGTCACATCAAGGCAAGCAAATTCAATGAGTCAGATTCTCAAATCTATCATTACAAAGGTACAAGCATGGAAGTCTGATGCTTTCTGTTATGAATGACTTCTTGGAGTCCATATGTTTCAACTAGTAACATTTTATTCACTTCCGTTTTAAAACAAGACATTCACTAGAAAAACACTTGTTTATATATTGTGATACATCAAACCCAAAAAACCAAATCTAGGAAATAAACCCAGGCAACATGGCAGCAATCATTTCTTATTTCACATTGCATAAGAGGTCATTTCTAGAATGCCCCTGTTTACAGTTGAGGCAATAACCTGTTAGTAACCACATCTCATCTCAAAACAAGCCATTGTGTTTGAGTTCCCCTCCCCAACTTAATATCAAAATAAATAACAATGGATAAAATCCTTGGAAAGAAAGGTGGGCTGATGTACCTATAACTCTGACAGATCCAACGTGCAAGTGTCTGTGCTTCAGGAGTGCCCAGTGGGGTTCGGAGACCAGCATGTGAACTTAAATGAGAAGGAGAAAGTGCTAATGCCACCCTCTGAACAGAAGATATAATGCTGCGGACATATTGTCGGGCCATGGATGCTACATGTTCTTGCATGTGGCTTTCAAAGGCAAACTCAAACGCTATGGTCATCACAGATCTCATACAGCCAGAATTTCCCGAGTAATCATTAGATGCTTTGTTTCCAGTTGGCCCAATCTCAAGAGCAGAAGCAAGGTCAAGAGTGCGATTTGGACTAGATGCTTCCTGCATCATTTCTCCAGTGATTAATAAAAAACTCAACAAAAGATACAGAAAAAACTAACAAAAGACCCTGCTTAACATAATAAATACATGCCAACCTTCCCAGAATCTAGAGGAATGATGCGAAAACCAGAAGGCAAAAGAGGAGCATCATCAGCAAAAGAAGCATCTATAGGAGCAAATATAAGCTCAGCACAGGTGCCCACGGCATTTTCATCCATTCCACTGCATAGCTATAAAACAATACCACAATAATTATGCAAGAAGACAATATTAAAAAACCAAGAAGAAGAAGAAATGCTATGAAAGGCTAGTAGCGCTCCATATGACTACAAGTGAAAAATCTATCGTCCATCATGCTTTATTCCAAATGTTAAGACTGGATCTGCACTCCATTAAATGAAGCACAAATTGCAGCCAGCCCATTGTAGCATCAGCTGCAAATACATAACTATACAACTAGCCGTCCAGCTGTTCTACAAGAAACTTGAAAGGGAAAAAAGGGTTAAGTAAAAGGAATGTATCTCTTTGCCTAAAGATACTACCATAGAAACCTGCTGTTATTACAAACCAAAAGATCACATATCCAAAAATAAGCACCATTCACCATTCACTAAGCCAAAACAATAACCAAATAACATTATATTACACTTGTCAACCTCTGAACCTCACTTGTGGAGTGTGTTCTATGTAAGTTCCCCTTCCTCTAGTTCAAAAATTAAAATAAAAAAGACTTGCAATGAAACTATGTAGTAGAAATATACATCATCACAATTCAAGCAGCATGTTAAACAATGGTAAAAATAACTCAAGAAAAGAAAGAGAGGGAGTTGAAGATAAAAACACCCAACATATATTAGCAGGAAAGAATGATGAACTTGATGAGAAGTAAAGAATACTTACTTGTAAGAGAAAAACATCTCGTGGCATTATTGCATCTTCAGGAGAATGTGCAACTCCCTCCAACTTAATGACCTCTAAGAACTAATAATAACATAAACAATGTGACATGTTAATTAATACATATAAGCAAAAAAGCCAACAGGTCATTACATCAACGTAGAAAATTGAAATTAATAACATGATACCACAACACATTTTTAAATGCCATTAAATTTCATTTTCTTACCTCTTCATGCTCGATGGTATGTGCCAGGGGAAGTATAACTTGACCACCAAACCCACCAACTCGAGACCCTGGTAAGCTACAGGGACCAACTTTAACAGCTGCAGCTGAGTAGGCATCAATGCTGCTGTCAGCCCATTCTGATCTGTGCTCCCGCAGAAACCGGAGAAGGATTGCAGGAGGTACATTCTAGAAGAGAAACAGCAGAGCAAAGAAAAAATATTGAAATTTGTTGACCACGTAACAGCATGCTCATATAATAAAATTATTTGCAACTATGCAAATGTTCTACCATACTCAGATAATATCCTTTATATAAAATCATTTTACAAGTAAATACAATTTCCCTTCAAGGCCAAAAATATAGTACAATTTTCCTCGTCAAATGGACGGGCTACCCCCTTAACTGTGCCAATCTGTGGTGCAAAGAAGATTCAATACCAGGTCCCCTTTAGAACTACCAAAGTGCTTAACAATGTAGTTGGCACCCCTTGCTATGCTAATAACAAATGCTTAGAAATTCAATCCAGTAGAGCTAGCAAAAATGAGATTACTGACAAGTGCTGAATCATCCACGTGATACAAATTACTTATTGTCATTAACGAAGTTGCAAAAATTGTACATACTAAGACAGGCAAACACCAAAAGCAACTTGGGAAGACATTGCCATTGGGAAATGCTTAAATAAAAAGACAACAGAATATCATAACAAGATGTGGCCACTTTCAGTTTGACGAAAGATGTGAGGTGGGGTATGGAAAAGCCCTTAAAAGTGAGTAACATGGCATCATAGCAACCACAAAAACATAAGAATAGCATAACTTATGAACAATTCGGAAACAATGTTATGTACTTCCCATAATTGTTTCCCATTAACCATCAAAGACT